ATGTATCATACATTGTGTCGCAAATCACGACACATGCAACACGTTTTATGTTAGTATGTGCCCAAAATTCTTTGGATCCATACCTAAGATCTTATGAATCTGTACCCAAGATCTGATTCAAGATCCTGGTACAAGATAATATGATTATCTTATACCTAAATTTTCAAGATCTGTTCACATTTCTGTACCTTGTATTTTGGACAAAATCTTGCTTACAAGATGTTCAACTAGGGAAGTTCTTAACTCGATGGTTGTTTTTTCTGAAAGAATATGATACTGAATAAAAAAAAATTATTTATGGTTTTTCTCGAAAGGATGAAAGAATTAAATAGTTTGAGTATTTAGAAAACAAGAAAAAATCATTAACAATTATCACCGAGATTTATTTATTGGACTATAATTTTTCGAAGAATTCGATTGATCAAGAAGAATTACGTACTCAAAGGTTTCTCAAAGTCAACTAAAGGGCATATCTCATAAAAGTTGGTAAGTTAAACACTTCAAAGATATATCATCGACACAAAGTTATTTAGAGTGACAAATAAACAGTTTCAATTAAAGAATAGAAGATTTTGATCTAATAAAAGCATTCCAATATTACAACTAACGAAATTATTCTATGTATTAGCGTAGCTTTTTGTTTGGTTATTCAATTTAAAATTTATGATCAAAGAAAGCGATAGCTAATGTTATGAGTTCATACGTAGACATACATGATTTTATCTGTGAGACAGAAAAAAGCCACCGCACCTACAAGAATAAACATAATGATATAAAAATTCGTGTAGTTCTTCTTGATCAATGTCACTGGGATGATAGAATGACTCAAAAGAAGAATCTGATTGCTTAAATACTCAACATTTAGAAAGAACCTCAAGAAACAGCCTCAGTTGAAATAATAGTCGGACCTCAGACTCAATGATATTCACACTAACAAATCTTAATACTTGTAAAAGAAAAAGGAAAATCAGAACATGACATTATCTAACAAACGTGATAAGTCGTTAAGTTGCTAGATTAATATAATTGATATATATCATTATTATGCATCTGAATAACAAAGCAGTCGTGGAAGATCGTCATAATTTGTGTCAACGAGTTCTTCCTCATTCACTAATTCACCTGCATCAGATATAAATGGTACAACTAAAACAAAATAAAACAGGAAAAGAAACTAAAGTATCTGTCGATATAAACATACTACTTGGTCTTTCAGCCAAATAATCAACTTCAACTTTTATGAACATGCTATCATTTTTAACGTAATGATCTTCATTTTGTTCGAATAGTTTAAGAGGAACGAACTTCGGGATACCATAAGCGATATTCATATCGTTCCTTGGACGTTGAAAAGCGATTGATTCCGTATTAGGCCAAAAACATTTTGTCTGGTTATTACTCGGTAATAAATGACTCAGTAAAGTAAACGTTATTTTGAATTGAAATGGCCAACGAAGAACATTATCATAATTACCCCTCATTAATGCAAAGTACAATGACATATATGTACCTCTTGCTTTAGTGTCTCCATTTAAAAATAATCTCAAGGAAATTTTATAACCATTAGGAAATGAATAAAACGAAGAAGAATATATCGATTTTTGTTCATCAAACGCAACATTATCTAATGGATCAATAAAAAAAATAAAGTTTTAAAATAGTTGTTTTTACTATATACTTTTCAGATTAGAGATATTGGAAACTTCCCAAATACATGTGCCATTCAAAGATGTATCCGATTCATTACCAAGTAACAGTTCTTGATTTGTTCTACTTGAGTCTTGTTGATAAAAAATATTTTCATCGATCTACAAAGAATGACATAACATTATTTAAAAAAAATATTATTAGTTAAATGTTTACTTCTCGGTTACGAACAAAACAAGTAATGAATTTATCATGAAGATGTTTGAAATGTATCTAACAATAAAATAAAAAAGTGTATTCTATTAAAGAAAAATCGTCAAGATATTATACTTGATAATCTTTTAGGGATCCTATCCATTTACAACTTGAGCAGTATATAGGAATATGTTGTATTTTCATTGGCAAATCTTGAACCAACGATATCTTAAAAAATGAACACAGTAATTCAGAAAATCGATAAATATCAATTGTTATAATTACTTCATCACGTGAGACCGCTTTGCAACATGTCGCACAACTAATAATATTCAGAAATACGTATATATTAATAGAATACAAATGAAAATATTTACTTCTTTTGAATATTCACACATACTTTACATTGTTGGTGTCCACATTCAAGTCTATAAAGTTGTTGATGAATTAACTTACATGATGGACAGAAAAAACATGGAGCAAAGTCGATGATATTCTTTGCAGGTAAGCCATATAACGATGGGAGCGTACATTGTTTTGAAAACGGAGAAAAATGATTGAACATAGTCAATTCTTTAATACGGAGGCGATCTGTTATAATTGAAATAATAGCATCAATTGTGCTTCGATCAATTGGGCTCGATGAAACAAGTGCTTTATTAAGTTCAGCTTTTTCACATCGTCGTAATAAATCATATATAGTACAAAATTCTACCTTTTCACATTTAGATTTAAAACGACGTCGGATTTCTTTTAGCTCATTGTTGCCATCATAAATAACATCAATATTTAAAACTTGTGGAAATCGATAAATCGGATCGTTCAGTAAGTGTTCGAGACAATCCAAAGGAATAATCAAATGAAACGTATCTGTTTTGTTAATATTTTTCCATACATATTCGATCAAAGCAGACACATTAACAAATACCATGGTAAATAGAGTTTTAACTTGCTCTGGAATAGGCGTTGAACACACCATAAGAAATTTTTGTACATAAATTCCACTAGTAGTGGTAGCCATGTCACAATACCTATTGAGTAGATATATACTACAAGAAAAACACGAATAGACATTTTATATTCAATATTAGCAGTGAAAATGCAAAAATCTATAAAATAAATAAAATTTATTATTTTATTATGTTTACAGAAAGCGAAAAAACTACGGAAGAATAAGCACATACTTTGACCGTTTAGAATTCTTCGATCGATCTATTACAAAAAAACAACTGAACATAGGTTATCTCAAATACTGACATGATCGCTAAGAAATACTAAAGCTGAGCGACTACATTAGTAAATCAAATACTTTTGACACTTTTACATGAATTTTAGAAATAATATTGTGGATATTCCTTTCATGGGTGACTGAGCTACATGCTCAATATGTTTATACATCGTCAAAAAGTTTCCATTCATACCTCAATGTAACCGACTAATGAATAGCTCCTCTATTTCTGTTATTACTTGTTAGACAGAAGTTCAAAATATTACTAAGGTATTGTAGTATAGTAGAGGACTACTTTTGCATATGATTCACAGAAGGGTACTATAGCTTGTATAATTGGCAGCTTCAATTTAAAAAAAATCAAATTTAACGGATAACTGATGCACTTCCAACTTATTTATCTGAATCGATCGGATCGATAAAAGAATTCAGGAAGGTCAAAATATTTTCCTATATCCCCCGTTTGTTTATTGCACATTAAATTGAAAAAAAAAACACTGCATCAAAGCAGTATAACCATGAAAAAACAAATTACATTTAAAAAACGCATTAAAATTTACAACAATAAAAATGAGGGTAATTGATATTATTAGATGGATGTTCTGAATTATTCATGCGTTTCATTATTACGAAAACTAAATCATAAAATTTCTAAATTAAATGACTTAGATTCGACGAATCTAAGCCCCTAATGAAAACAATATGAAGTTCTATAAACAAATGAAAAAAAAAAAACTTTCCAGATGCCTCAATAGTATTTTGTTTGAAACGAATCCTTTAACATCGAAATCTTAGTAACTGCATCAGTCTCTTTCAAGAATTGAAATCAAACGAATTGGATAAAGCCAGAGATACGTTCATAACCAATTTTTCCACTGTCTAGAAACATTATAAAATAAAAGTATATTGGCGGCAGTATATAACCAGCTTGATCTCGGTTTCTTAAGATCTCGATCCTTTTGTAGATTAAAAATTATTAAATGTCAAGACTTGCTGTATTCTCTTAAAAAGAAACAAAAATCTAAGCTTAACTAATGCATAATATTTAAACAATATTTTTTGATTAGTAATAAGAGCCATGGCAGTTATGTGCAATATCATAAAATTACTTTTGTATTTTGTTGTTCATGGACATGTGCTGCTGAGAGAAATATTATTTATTCTTCTTTTTTTTCAGATGACTCCACGTGCCTGAAAAACAGAACACAAGAATGAGCCATACTGTCGGCACGTGAGTGGGTTTTTTTTAATCTCTGGTAAACATACGATGTATTATATTATTTTACTTGACATAAACAGTATCGATTTTTGCTTTAATTAAAATGAGAATATCGGATAATAGATCTATCTTGAACTCAGTTGAGTTTGTTTGAAAAATATTGTTTAAATATTATGCATGAACTAAGCTTAGCTGTTGTCCGGTTTGTTTTCAAGAGAGTACAGCGAGTTCTGACATTTGAAAAGTTTTCTCTCCATAAATGGAATGAGATCTTAATAAAGTGATATCAAGATAGTTGTGTATATATTTTATAATTTTTCTAAACTATGGAAAAATATCAGGGTTAATTGATCAGTTCTTTTTAAATCTTTAAATCACTAGTCATAAAAGCCTCTATTGTTCATTCAAAAAATCAGTGCATGAGGCTATTTTTCCAATAATTCGAGAACAAATAGAAATAGACACCTGCCAATTTCACGATTCAAAAGAGCGATAAGCTTGACGAGTTTTGTTAACATCTTATTGCGAATAAAGGGTGTTTTTAGCTACATTTGTATATGGTTTGAATTGAAATTCTTGTAACAATCGATGAAAAACGGCAACGAAAAACAATATTGGTTTTAAACCAGCCATGAAAACATTGAATAGTGAAAATCACAGGTCCCTATCCTTTGTTCTCGAATTATTTATAAACTGAAGCAGTTTCCTTGGATTCTTGTATTCTGCTATTTCTTCTTGATTGGTATTGTTATTTAAATGAATAATTTTGTGAGACATCTCTGAAAGTTTTTTTTTCTAACTACATTAAAATCACTGAAGAGATCTTCATACTTTCTACAGTCTCTTTGCCAAATTACATAGCTTGAGAGCACGATCATAGTTCCTTTGGACATCTAATTCATTGTTTTCATCTTCTCTTGTTCGATCACCTATTTCTTCGGAGAAAAGAGCAAGATCAATGACTAATTTAATTAGAAGGCGCGTGTCATCAGTAAAGATTCCATCAATCTTAACATACAATCTTGAAAATTGTTGTAAAGTAGTTAATTCATTAGTTGAACAACGGATAAGAATTGAATGAATACTAGCATACGCACTGCTACGGCACACAATATCTTGAACATTAATATCTGTTTGAATCACCAGATATGCAATTTTTTGTGAAGAATAAATATTTAACCAATGCCACAATTGTTCTTCTGTTGAAAACAGAATTAAAGTTATATCTTCAGGGATTAGATATTCAATAAGAGCCGTTTTCAATGACGAGTTCTTCTTACCATACCAGAGTACTACAAGATCCCCATAATGTACTAATAATACAAGAAAAAAAAAAAGTATAATTATTTTTTTCTAGTACTTCAAGTATCATAAGGATCCTTCTATACTAGAACTATTCTTATACCATCATCATGAATCAAGCGAGATTGTCCGTATCGATCAAATAAATCAGCAATTGACTTATCATTATTATCGATAGTTACATCGTTTTTAGGCAATACTTGCAGTAGTGAAATGTCTGTAGGCAACTGAACAATTGGTAACGTTTTTGCCAAAGCTGTCATGCGAATGTTTGAGATTTTTTCAATCTAAATAGAAGTAAAACAGTTAATCATAAAAAATATTTAAAAAAATCTAAAATAAATATATAAGTATTGTGTGAAACGACAACCACATGCTAAAAACGATATTATATATATATAAAGATAAAAAGCATTTTTTCCCAAAAAAGAAAAGAACGGAAGTATGAGACTGGGAATTTTCTCAGTCTGTTCAAAAACATCAAATCAATATCATATCAAAACAGAAAATAATTTCTTTCTTATAATTAATTAAATTACGATAAAAAAAAAACAATTTATGATATCATTAATTTGAAGAATCACTTTCACTAGATTCTCTTATACAAACAAGTAAAATCAAGTATCTGTGATCTTCTCACATTGGATAAAAAATGAATAATTTGCAGATTACGATGCAGAATAAGACAATATATATATATTTCAAAAAATACCCACCTACATGGAAAATTCCAAGCAAATAAAGAAAAGAACAGACAAAAAAAATTTATTTTCTGATATTTTATCACAGGACTAGATCTGTATGAAATTCTTCTCAAATATTACTTCAATGATCATGGAGCATGAAAGATTCTTCTTTTTGTTGAGTTTTTTCCACATATCGCTTGCTTTTTCTTGGTTTATGTATCACCTTAGATTTTTTTTTCCGTGACAGTAATTGATAAAAGGTTAACAAGTGTCAGATGGTGATTAATATACATTTATCAGAGGAGTACGAATACTTGCTATGGCTATCAAATGTAATAAATATGTGACGAAAATTGATGCAATATGAATCATCGGCTAGGATGTAAACGTCTGTCTCCTTCTGGACTTTATCCATACCTATTAGAATACGATTTGAAATTGCACCATATATACTCATATCCTCTCATTTGCTTGATTCCTATTATATGAGCCTTTGTATAAGTATCATCAACACAATATCTATTTTATTCTTATATACAAATATATTGATCCCATAGGTATTGTGATGAAAAAAAAAAGGATTATTTTCAATCCGAAAAATTAGATCAAATTTTATTCAGCAAATGTAAGCTACTATTAAATTGTTCAGTGATGATAATGACACGTTCGTTTTTATTATCAATTTTGAGTTTTATTATATAACATATTTGCGTCTGAAAATTATTAACAGTGGGTTTTTTTTTCATAATTTAAAAATTCACAGGAGTAATTTTTTCCCTGAAAATATTCATTGAATATAGATATATATCCATATTGAGCACATTTAAAACGAGAACAAATGATAGTTTATAGAAATTCATATGATCGAAGATATTTTTCGATTTATATCAATAATTGATATCTTCACATCGTTCAAATGATTTATCGAGTGTCATTTACTTGATTTGCCTGTTATTTGAAATTTTTCGTTTTCCATTTTATCAAAACAATTATTTATTAAAGAGAATTTTACAATTGAGAATAGAATCACAATTTATCTGCTCATATGAAAATGAGATTCACCGTTAAATTACGATCGCATAGGTACTTTAGGCATTTTCCATTCCATTTGTCGAAAAATAGATTTTAATTGTGGACTTTTTAATTCAAATATAGGTGAATATGGTTGTTGATTACTTCGTATCCACCAATTTTTATCACCACTATCTATACGTGTAAATTTATAACGATATAAATCAGCTTTAATAAAACGAGGTGGTGCATCTGGAAATGGATTTCCTCCAATCGATAAAATAACATTTATAGGTGAATATTGATCAGATGCAAGTAAATGTGCCATTAAATGAATAAGCCAAGGATTATATTGTAAATTTTGCATTGCTGCAAACCTTTAAGATACAAACAAATAAAAATATTCCTCATATAAATTTATTAGAAAAAAAAAAAAAAAAAGAAGTCATTCATACCATAATTGCCATGTTAATCTTCGATGATAAGGTGCACTAAAACAAGGTGATTTATCAATTTTTCCTGGTTTACAACTAAATTCATATTCAAGCCAAACATTATCATGATTACATTGTTCA